TGCCGTATAATATACTTCTACACGAGACTCTCTAATTGGAAATCTCAGTGTACATCTGAGCTCCCATTTAAATGCAACACCGACAATAGAAATGTTGATACTCGTGATTAATGGGGTGTCCAGACAGCCATTATAAGAAGCCTCAAACCAATATTCCATGAGGATAAGACCTTCTAATAGTAGGGGGGGACTACAAGACAATTATAGGGGCTCATCTGGATATAGCTGATGAATGCAGATGGGGGAAATTAATAGACCGTCTCGACTTGGGCTGTTGGTAGGGGTCATTCGTTCACAGCCCACGCCGTGACATTTCCATCTAGATTCCAATTACAAATCCTATTTAGATACCGTATTCCAGAATGCCACCATTATAAATACCCTGTTACATGGCGCTGCACATTAGGAATGGATTTCAGATTCTTTAAAGCTAAATTCCAAGTTAAAAGCTAAATACAATTAAAATGCATATATAAATAAACTGTCCTACCCAGGAAAATCAGAAGCACCCTGAACAGGATTACAAATAATCGGGGTCCCCTTGCAGATAGCATAGGCATGTTGGTGACCTCACTTTTTTTCATTGTGTCCAAGTGTTACAGCTTGGTCAGCAAAGTTTATTAGCATACTAGTGAAATTGTTTTAATTCCATATCTTATTTGAGGCCAACTGACATCATCACTCAGTCTCTGTGCTTCTCTATGCAATTTAGGCAGGTCATCGCTGGTGGGAGGGGCCAGCAGGGTGCTGTACATAGAGTGCTGAAAACATCACAGCACCCTACCTAAGTACTGCTCTCGAGTCCTCAGCCCTGATGCAAGCAGTGGGCTGGCTCTTGGAGGGGTTATGCAAATATCAGTGTGCCTTAATGTGTGGATGTCAGTCTGCAGAAGTGGGTGTTCCAAGGCAGAGACTACATTTGCATGCAGACCGCACTAGGTAACGCCCACATGTGATGCTGAGCCTTCATGATTGAAAGAACTAGGGATGCACCGATGCCGAGTATTTGGACGAGTACTCGTACTCGCTCAAATGCTCCGATGCCTAGCCCAATACTTCCGGTATCAGGAAGCCTGATGAGGGAGCATGGAGCCGGCTTCCCGGTCAATCAGGAAGCTGGGCAGAGTGTAATGACTCGCTGCCTGGCTTCCTGATTGGTTGGGAAGCTAGCCAATCGGGGAGCCGTGTAATGACGCAGCGCCCAGCTTTTTGATTGGCCAGAAAGCCGGCTCCATGCTTTCCTAGTGACGAGGAAGCATGGGGACGGCTTCCCTGCTAATCGGGAAGCCGGGTGGCGAGTCTTTACACACCGCCCGGCTTCCCGGCTAATTAGGAGTCATTACACGCTGTCTGGCTTCCTTAATGGGACTTCCAGTATCGGTATTCGGTATCGGTGAGTACCGGGAAAAAAATATTGGTACTCTGTACCAAAATACTGGTATCGGTGCATCCCTAGGAAGAACTGAAATCTAATGAATGAAAGGGGCGGGTCAAGGACAGTCAGTCTGGGCAGGAAAGGGCTAGATAAGAGGTGGGCAAGCTCCGGCCCTCCAGCTTTTGAGGAACTACAAATCCCATGAGGCATTGCAAGATTCTCACAGCCATAGGCATGACTCCCAGAGACAGATACATGATGGGATTTGTAGCTTGACCACAGCTGCAGGGCCGTCGTTTACCCACCCCTGGGCTAGCGGATGCTGGACGTCCTCCAGCCAGTTAATGAAGTGGGCTCTGTGTGACTTGCTGCAGCTTCTAATGCACATTGTGAGGAGCTCGCAGTGTGCAGTGAAATCAGAGGAAGTCCAGGAGAGGAGCCAGTACAACTGAAGGGAAGGCCAGAGTTCAACTTTTAAAAAATCCATGTTTTTATTTTCATGTACAGCTGGATTGAAACGTGACCTTTAATATCTACCCATAGCTTTAATAAAACGGCCTGCCTCCCGTGTACCGGCAGCACATGCTGGGACTTGTAGTTCCACTGTAGAATCAGAATGATGGCTTCTTCGATAGACAGAAAAAGGCAAACACTGCCCTGCCAGGTTGCTACAAAAAGCCTTTGTGTTCAGAACAACAGAACGCTGCACACAGTCAACAAAGTCCTCCGTTCGCGGGGAACGCTTCTTCATTGTTACAGATCTCTCCATTATAAAATGACACCATTGATGTTTGAGGTCACGGCTGTCAGCGCGGCTCCTCTGTGCTGCTTTCATAGTGTCTTGCTGGTTTCTTTGCCATTTCCTGTGGTCACTTCACGCTGTCTGGGATGTGGCTGGGACAGGATTTTGTAAGAGATGTTCTTGCGTTCTGTATTTTTCTGCAAAATCAAACACAATGTAAAAAGAAAAAATTGTCATTGAAAATAATTGTCACTTGAATGGCCTTGTGTGTATTGTGCTCTGTATGGTGTCAGTGGGGATGGCCAGTTGAAGACATGGGGGCTGGTTAATGTTATAGATTGGCTTGTACTAATAATGGAATCCTGGAACATTACCTGCTAACCATTTCTTCCTCTTAGAGTACATTGCCCCCCCTACTGCCAGCATACCGATGTATAAAGAGTAAATGCAGCCACGACATCCCTGTAGCAGTACAAATTTATTTCCAGGGATGGAAATCCCCGGGTTTAAAAGTTTTTTAGTTTCCTGTAGAATCAGCTGGTCCTCTGAACACTGGCCCTGATATCCTGTTTTAGGGTTCCTCCCATAGGCAGAACTACCAGCGGTGCAGCCGCCCCAAGGCTGGGTGGGCCCACTGACAGAGGAGGAGAAGGTGGAGGAGGCCAGGGCTGGGGCGCAGCACTGCCAATCCAGCGGCAGAGGAGGCCGGGCCCAGCAGCATGGGCTTGGAAGCAGAGGAGGCCGGGCCCCAGTAGCGCATGTCCAGCAGCGGAGAAAGCCCAGCTGCAACAGGTAGGAGGAGCTACGTGTGGGAAAGGGACTCCGACCAGCCCACCTGAGACCCTGCAGAGCCCACCACAGAGAGTCTCCGTGGGCTGTGTGGGGTTTCGGGTGGGCAAGTCAGGGTCTCATGGGGGCTCTGCAGGATCTCCGGTGGGCTCTGCGTGGCCTCAGGTGGGTCCTGAGTCCAGTGCGTTGCTAAGTGCAGAGTCCAATTCATATACTGTTCTGCATTGCTGTATAATGTATTGCTGGGATTTGTAGTCCGCCCTACAACCGGTGCCATCCTGCATTAGAGTGTAAGCTCCTCTGTACAGAAACTAATGTGACTGGCTCAGTGTTCTCTGTACAGCACTGTGGTATATGTCGGAGCGATATAAATGTATAATAATAGTGTGAGACTCTGAGGGGACATGAGAGTGTAAGCTCCTCTGGTGCAGAGACTGCCAGGGGGGGTTGCGGGGCCAGTGAGATCTGCTCCTTTGGGAGGGGGGCCCAAGATAAAATCTTGCACCAGGGCCCTTTATTCCTTAGGTCCGCCACTGGCTCCTCCTTTCACTTGCAGGGTCATATGAAGCCACCATTGTGTGTGCAAGTGAGCTGTGTGTATCTCCACAAACCTACAGGCACAACAGGGTAAGCCATTACACTCCTCCTTGCTTCCCTCTCCTCCTTTCTCCCTCCTCCACAAGCCAGTATAGTCTGAACTCCCGGTCCAGTGCAAGATCACAAGAGATAGGGCAGTCTCCAGCAGCTGTTCATCTACTGGCTTTGGAGAATGAAGGAGCAGGTGGCAGAGGAGTGGTTTGCCTTGCTGTACTTGTGTGTTTATGGAGACACAAACGCGGATGTCTCCATAGGACCCTGCAAATGAAAGGAGCCGCCCTAAATCAGGATATCAGGGCCAATGCTCAGGGGGCCAGCTGATTCTGCAGGAAACTAAAACTTAAAGGGAGCTGCATCCATTGTAAGTGGTTTGAAATATCTTAAAACTTGTTGGCTCTTGACGTCACTCTAAACTTTGTGGGAGATACCTATTGATAGCTGTAGAGTTTTCATTCTGCCACATATATGTAAGATTACTATGTGTAGGCTGAGGAAGCACGGCACAGTGACTGAAGCACGTTTAAGCTGTGTTGGTTTGGTTGGATAGTAAATAGGTTACTTGGTCATTGATAACCCTTCTCCGTCCTAATTATGTTGTAGGGAACTTTTTTGGTGGGAGATTTTAAGACTAATAAAGTGTTTGTAACCGTGAGTTCCTTCCTCCCATTCTTCTTATAGTTTTATAAAATAGGCTAGTCATCTGACTCAGACATGTTTACAGCAGTGGTGGCTAACGTACTTAAAAAGGGAACCTCAAGCGTGAACCTGAAGTGGTCGTAGAGTGTGAGATGGGGGTCATAGAGTGTGGACATGCAACAAGAGATGGGGGTCATAGAGTGTGGACATGCCACAAGAGATGGGGTCATAGAGTGTGGAGTAGAGTAGTAGACTAGCAAGTGTGTCCATTCCAGAACAGGAAACTATGCTAAAGAAGTGTCTTAGGGGGCAGTATGCTGTATGCTGGAAAAATCATGAGAAAGAAAGAGAAAATCTTTCCTTCACTGGTGCGAGTAAGCACCACAACACAGAATACTGTCCGCAGGGGCCCCTAGGTTGGGTTCCTGGGGTTTACAGCCTCATCCACTCGGGTCTAATCTAAAGGCAAAATGTTATTTCTTTTAAATTTTGGATAACATGGGGAAGCGTTAGCCCTTCTGTCCTCTATTTGGCCTGGTGATGACAGTGATGAAAGTGAGGCGAAATCCCAAATTTGACAAAATTGTTTCAGTGACAGACCACTTTCCAGTCTCTAAGATGGAAATTCCCCTATGCAGATTTCTGCTCATTTTCTGTTGTGTTTCCAGGACTGGAAATTAAGGGAAATATCTCATGAGGGTTTTAACCCTTCCCTATTGAAAACAAAATGTTACAAATCTGACCATGCATACACTTTAGAGCAACATTGGATGCGGCTGGCTGCTTCAACCAAGAGCACCACGTTGCTTTGTTCTAGTGTAAATAGTAGATTTTAATGGTTTATTTTCCTTTCTGTTGCAGGACTTGTTAAGCGATGTAATCCAGTAAGATATCACTACACATCGTCTTCACTGCCAACAAACCTTCCACTCAATGTCACCAAGACCATCCGTCAGGATGAATGGCACGCACTCCGTAAGTATCCCCTTACCCTGCCTTATGATCTGGCTGGTTTATGGTCCCTATCCTGTCAAGATTCAAAGTGTAACATTATTCCTCCCACTGATACCAATAATGGGGCACTATTCCTCCCACTGATACCAATGATGGGGCACCATTCCTCCCACTGACACCAATGATGGGGCACTATTCCTCCCACTGACATCAATGATGGGGTACATGTTTACAGCAGTGGTGGCTAACGTACTTAAAAAGGGAACCTCAAGCGTGAACCTGAAGTGGTCGTAGAGTGTGAGATGGGGGTCATAGAGTGTGGACATGCAACAAGAGATGGGGGTCATAGAGTGTGGACATGCCACAAGAGATGGGGTCATAGAGTGTGGAGTAGAGTAGTAGACTAGCAAGTGTGTCCATTCCAGAACAGGAAACTATGCTAAAGAAGTGTCTTAGGGGGCAGTATGCTGTATGCTGGAAAAATCATGAGAAAGAAAGAGAAAATCTTTCCTTCACTGGTGCGAGTAAGCACCACAACACAGAATACTGTCCGCAGGGGCCCCTAGGTTGGGTTCCTGGGGTTTACAGCCTCATCCACTCGGGTCTAATCTAAAGGCAAAATGTTATTTCTTTTAAATTTTGGATAACATGGGGAAGCGTTAGCCCTTCTGTCCTCTATTTGGCCTGGTGATGACAGTGATGAAAGTGAGGCGAAATCCCAAATTTGACAAAATTGTTTCAGTGACAGACCACTTTCCAGTCTCTAAGATGGAAATTCCCCTATGCAGATTTCTGCTCATTTTCTGTTGTGTTTCCAGGACTGGAAATTAAGGGAAATATCTCATGAGGGTTTTAACCCTTCCCTATTGAAAACAAAATGTTACAAATCTGACCATGCATACACTTTAGAGCAACATTGGATGCGGCTGGCTGCTTCAACCAAGAGCACCACGTTGCTTTGTTCTAGTGTAAATAGTAGATTTTAATGGTTTATTTTCCTTTCTGTTGCAGGACTTGTTAAGCGATGTAATCCAGTAAGATATCACTACACATCGTCTTCACTGCCAACAAACCTTCCACTCAATGTCACCAAGACCATCCGTCAGGATGAATGGCACGCACTCCGTAAGTATCCCCTTACCCTGCCTTATGATCTGGCTGGTTTATGGTCCCTATCCTGTCAAGATTCAAAGTGTAACATTATTCCTCCCACTGATACCAATAATGGGGCACTATTCCTCCCACTGATACCAATGATGGGGCACCATTCCTCCCACTGACACCAATGATGGGGCACTATTCCTCCCACTGACATCAATGATGGGGCACTATTCCTCCCACTGACACCAATGATGGTGTGGGGGCACTATCCCTCCGACTGACACCAATGATGGGGCACCATTCCTCCCACTGATGCCAATGATAGGGCACCATTCCTCCCACTGATGCCAATGATGGGGCACCATTCCTCCCACTGATACCAATGATGGGGCACCATTCCTCCCACTGATACCAATGATGGGGCACCATTCCTCCCACTGATACCAATGATGGGGCACCATTCCTCCCACTGATGCCTATGATGGGGCACTATTGCTCCCACTGACGCTAAGAATGGGCCACTATTCCTCCCACTGTCACCAACGATGGGCCACTATTCCTCCAACTGTCACCAACGATGGGGCACTATTCCTCCCACTGTCACCAACGATGGGGCACTATTCCCCCCACTGATACCAATGATGGGGCACTATTCCTGCCACTGTCACCAACGATGGGGCACTATTCCCCCCACTGATGCCAACAATGGGGCACTATTCCCCCCACTGATACCAATGATGGGGCACTATTCCCCCCACTGATACCAATGATGGGGCACTATTCCCCCCACTGATACCAATGATGGGGCACTATTCCCCCCACTGATACCAATGATGGGGCACTATTCCCCCCACTGATACCAATGATGGGGCACTATTCCCCCCACTGATACCAATGATGGGGCACTATTCCCCCCACTGATACCAATGATGGGGCACTATTCCCCCCACTGATACCAATGATGGGGCACTATTCCCCCCACTGATACCAATGATGGGGCACTATTCCCCCCACTGATACCAATGATGGGGCACTATTCCCCCCACTGATACCAATGATGGGGCACTATTCCCCCCACTGATACCAATGATGGGGCACTATTCCCCCCACTGATACCAATGATGGGGCACTATTCCCCCCACTGATACCAATGATGGGGCACTATTCCCCCCACTGATACCAATGATGGGGCACTATTCCCCCCACTGATACCAATGATGGGGCACTATTCCCCCCACTGATACCAATGATGGGGCACTATTCCCCCCACTGATACCAATGATGGGGCACTATTCCCCCCACTGATACCAATGATGGGGCACTATTCCCCCCACTGATACCAATGATGGGGCACTATTCCCCCCACTGATACCAATGATGGGGCACTATTCCCCCCACTGATACCAATGATGGGGCACTATTCCCCCCACTGATACCAATGATGGGGCACTATTCCCCCCACTGATACCAATGATGGGGCACTATTCCCCCCACTGATACCAATGATGGGGCACTATTCCCCCCACTGATACCAATGATGGGGCACTATTCCCCCCACTGATACCAATGATGGGGCACTATTCCCCCCACTGATACCAATGATGGGGCACTATTCCCCCCACTGATACCAATGATGGGGCACTATTCCCCCCACTGATACCAATGATGGGGCACTATTCCCCCCACTGATACCAATGATGGGGCACTATTCCCCCCACTGATACCAATGATGGGGCACTATTCCCCCCACTGATACCAATGATGGGGCACTATTCCCCCCACTGATACCAATGATGGGGCACTATTCCCCCCACTGATACCAATGATGGGGCACTATTCCCCCCACTGATACCAATGATGGGGCACTATTCCCCCCACTGATACCAATGATGGGGCACTATTCCCCCCACTGATACCAAGGATGGGGCACTATTCCTGCCACTGTCACCAACGATGGGGCACTATTCCCTCCACTGATGCCAACGATGGGGCACTATTCCTCTCACAGACACCAATGATGGTGCATTTTTCCTTCTCCCACTGACCACAGGCACTACGATTTATTTATTTTTTTACTCCCATTAATCACCAACCCGGGGGAATTTTTTTACTCCCACTGACCACATTCTGGCCGCCCTAATGTCTAGAGGACAGTGAACTGGCCCTTTGTTTAGGTGCCCTTAGTCTAACCCTTTCCTGCTTTTTCCAAAACAAAATAAAGTATTGGCTTGAGTTGGGCTTTAAAGGCTTTAGAATATTAGGCCATTAAGCAGTTAAGCAAGGACATTATCTGAGTGTAATGTGCCTATAATGGCTGGTTGATTGGTTTTTGCAGCAAATTCACTTATGGACAAGAATACAAATGCTGTCGACCAGCTAAAAGGCACAAAGAGCATGAGATTTAGGCGGACGTGTGTTATGGTGACCATACACTTGGCAAATTGTAATCCATCTAGGCGTGAGTGATCGCAAAAAGACGATTCATCATTAATTAAAATATCCAATGAGACAACACACCATGCCGTTCTGCACTTTGCAATCTGCTGAGAATCTTGATACAGCATACAATCTGTCATTACTATATCTAAACAACCTATACAAATGATTGGTTTAATTATTCAGGATTACAAGCTGTTCTCAGACACACATAGATATTTGCTTGATCGATCAGAAATGATCGACTGATTCGGAAATGGCTGATCGACTTGGCAAAGTCTAAATCAATCAAAGGTTTACTTAAATCAATCAAATTGAGGGGTTTTGGTTATGATTGGCATTCAGTTTGATCAGTTCAGATGCAATGAATGATTCATTAAAATGATTATATTGATACATGTGGCCACCAATAGATTTTTTTCAAACAGTGAAGCCAATCAGTGAACTGCTGATACAACCCAGCACCAGCAAACTCTGTCAAAGTCCAATTATTTTACCTTAATGCCAAACTCTGACTATCCCCCTTAGACTTCTGCCCCCCTCACCCCGTTTTTAAAGATTTGTAGATATATATGCAGACATGATCAGGGCCGGCCTTAGGCCTTAAGGCGCCTTGTGCGAGAAAGCTTTACAGCGCCCCTCAGTGACCACACCCCTCAGTGGTCACACCCTTTAGTGGCCACACCCCCAGTAACCACACCCATTTATTACCCATATTTTTGGTAAAATATAAAAAGCGGGGTCACGTCGGGTAAATAGACACCAAACATGTCATGCTTTAAAATTGCGCGCACCCGCGAAATTGCCGCCCCCAGGACGAGCTGTGACGGCCGCACGGCGCCCTTGTTGCCATGGCGCCCTGTGCGGCCGCACTGCTCGCACACCCCTAAGGCCGGCCCTGGACATGATCCACTTAGTATAAAAGTTTGATCAGTGTGTTATTGTTTTTTAAAACATATATCTAATTGTAATTTTTAACTCATTCCATATAAGATTTTCTTCCTGTGGAGCACAGTGATTCTGTTAGACATGAATAGAGGAACAGTACATCAGTCGCCTCTGGGTCATTAAAAACAGTGCAGTATCTAATTGCTCATAGATTTCATTCTTCCTCAACAGTCATTAAGCCACAAATTATTTGGGGCATCTTCCATAAAGAAGCCATTAGATGGTGGAGAGAGAATATACACATCTGTTCAATAGCCCAGGGGGAGAACTGGGAACTTTTGACCTGGGAGGCAAATGCAACCAACTGGCCCTTTTATGGTAGAAAGATATTTTCCTGTGTTAAAGAAATTGTGCCGCACAATGTGTGCCACGGTGCTGCAGTGATTGGTGTCCATGGTAAAAGGTGGGCTCTGTCTTACAGAACCTGCTTTATCCTTAGACCCTGCCCTGGGGAGGAGAGGGCACAGCTTGGTTGGAAGCCTCCCCTGCCTCCACATTGTCCCAGCTGTCTCCTGTATTGTTCAGGGCCAAGTTGTCAAACTGATAGCTCAGTCCTGCAGATTACATAAGGACAGCATGGCTCTCCTGGTGTTATCAGAGAAGATCTACTGTCAGTACAGCAAGGATAGGCAAACTCTGGTCCTCCAGCTGTGGTAAAATTACAAATCCCATCATGCATCTGCCTCTGAGAATCATGTCTGTGGCTGTCAGAGTATTGCAGTGCCTATTGGTATTTGCAGTTGCACCATAGCTGGAGGGCCGGAGTTTGCCCACCCCTGGTATACAGTATACAGCCACCAGTGATGTATCATGAGGACACTGAACAGCTGTCAAAATGGCAGCTGAGCTCCACTTTGTGCTTTCTCCTAGTGATATATGCAGGATACAGCTGTCACTTTAGACAGTGGACAGCAGCTGTCATTTGTCCACCTGGCACGGTCCTGGCCACTGCATGTGCTGTTGTGTATACTCCATCCATCTTAGCCAGGATGAGGGAGGGTCACATTTTGACATCCTTGCACAGGGCACCAAAGAAGTTCAAACACTAGAAAGCTGTATAATTCCCAGCAGCTGACTGCAGGACCTTCTCTGAAATGGGGTGGTATCTCCACTCTGGGACACCAGCCTAACATACACTGCCTGGCCCATAAGCTTATGCAATGTCACAATATTTATTTCCATTCAGAGTTGCATTCATTTTTCACTAAGATATTGTAGTGATGATGGGAGAGTCGGACCTCTGTGTAAAGTCTTCTCCAGAGCATCCCAAAGATTCTCAATGGGGTTAAGGTCTGGACTCTGTGGTGGCCAATCCATGTGTGACAATGATGTCTCATGCCCCCTGTACCACTCTTTCACAATCTGAGCCCGGTGAATCCTGCCATTGTCACCTTGATATATGCCCAATGTGCCATCAGGGAAGAAAAAATCCATTGATGGAAAACCTGATCATTCAGGTCGGCAGCTGACTTCATTTTTTGGGCACATGATGTTGCTGAACCTAGACCTGAGCAACTGAAGCAGCCCCGGATCATAAACACTTATCCAATGGAAGGCTCTGGCCTATTTGCTTAGCTAATTCCAGGTGGTGACTTTTTTTTTTTGGCCATACAGTGTATATTATATGCTACCCTACCACTAGCCCAGTCTTCCCATACAGTAGCCAAAATATGGAATGGCAGACCTTAAGGTTGCATCTAAACAACTTCACAGTAATAACTCAAAGGCTTCAGCTGAAAATACACTATAAGGTTCTTTTAATGCAGAGCAGTTGCCCGACTGATAATGCAGTGACAGTGTACACACATAACTTTCCTGTCTTTTTTTTTTTTTCTCCCTCCAGACCTGCGGCGGATGACAGCTGGCTTCATCGGAATGGCGGTGTCTATCATCCTGTTTGGGTGGCTGATAGGGGTGCTGGGCTGTTGCAAGCAGCATGACCTAATGCAATATGTGGCCGGGCTGTTATTTCTCATGGGAGGTAAGAGTTTTCACTGCTCTCTAGGTCAGCCAAGAGAAGCTAATTATCAGCTATTGACTTGTCTTTTAACAAAGAGATCATAGATGGATGACCAATTTCTCCAGATGAGGACATGGTGGAGGGGGAGGGGGTTCCTACAATAGTCAATTATTAAACCCCTCGAGAGGCCATTCTGACAGTTTGACTTGTTACATTGCTTTTTTTCTCATTGGCAGTTAGTACAGAGCTAAAATCTAAAGGCTGAAAAAATAAGGTGAATAAAAAAACAATTTTCTTTAGTCTCTATGCAACATATTGACCTTGTTGGAGAAGGGGTTACCTACCTGACCATGCAATATAGCAAGACATGTAGATAGACAGAATGACATATGCATATTCTCAACTTTGTAAGTGGTACTTGTAAGTGGCATGCTTTGCACATTGCAGAAATGGGAGTGACTTAAAGGCTGTGACTATTATTAAAGCCCAGCACTTTTTTGTTTAAATGTTAAAATAAATTCGACACGGCAAAACTCCCCTTCTGTCTGTCCTGGGCCCCCTCAGAAAGTCCAATTGTCCCCTAGATTGCTCTCTACTTCAGGGTCTGGTCATCATTCAGCCCATTTTCTCTGAGCCCAAACCATCATGGCCACAACCTCTTGGGATTTGTTGGGCTTTACAAGAGGCTTAGACTAAAGAGAAAGACATCATCTGGCCTCTATACAAAGTATTAGTTAGACCTTATATAGTTTGGTTTATTACACCAGTTTACATGAAAGGATTTTGATATTTTTGGAAAAAGTGCAGAGAAAGGAAACTCAATTAATAAGGAGTATGAAGGACCTCAGGTTTAACCTTTGCATCCAGAAAGGCCTCATGCAAACAGGTGCACGGGGGTCATGCATGTAAAATTTGGGCATACGTCTTTGCTTGGGAAGCCACTGGTGCTGTGGACAGCCTCCTAATTATTTATATAGCCCAGTGCTTTTACATGCACAGAACGTGCACATTCACATCAGTTTTGCCCGCAAGGAGCTTGCAATCTAAGGTCCCTTTCGCACATGCATACATACAGGGCCAATTTAGACAGAAGCCAATTAACCTTCCAGCATGTCTCTAGAGTGTGGGAGGAAACCAGAGAACCCGAGGAAACCCACACAAGCGCAGGGAGAACAATCAAACTCGTTGCAGATAGTGTCCTGGCCAGGATGTGAACTGAGGACTCCTAGTGCTGAAAGTGCTAACCACTGAGCCACTGTACTGCAGTCAATGTCTGTAAATATATATGGTTTGGGGGGGGTCTTTTACAAACGCTAGCAACGCAGCAGTAGAAAATCAAAATGATGATAAAAATTGTAAAAATGGTGTGGCCAGCTGAGGTTAAAAAGCGTTCCGGAGGGCTTGGCAGTGAAAGGGTTAAATAAGTACATGGACCATGTCCCAGAATCTGCCAAGGTTTACGTAACAAGGCATCAGACATGTATGTTCATTTCAGCAGCACGCTGTATAACTCCAGGTATGTTAGTCATTCAGTCAAACGTTTTATAATAAGCGAGGGACATTTGGGGGTTATTCATGAATCATCCGCACAGCCACGCGCTGGCCGAATGCCATTCACACAGCATACTGGTTACTATAAACCCAAGGAGCATAGGATATTCCTATGCTCTTCGGCTCCATCTAGTCACGAGAATGCCATGCAAACATTATTTGGCCAGCATATGGCTGGGTGGATGATTTATAAATCATCCCCTGCTTTTCCCATGCAGGGAAAAGTAACGTGTTCACCTAAAGTAGAACAATGGGCAACTCCAAAAAAATCATACAGCTTATGATCCAGTCTTTCAGTAGCATTAACAGGGAAGTTTATGTTTTTCTGACTCCCCCTTGTTTTATGACCTGTGGCTCCTGCCAGTGGGTCTGTTATTTTTTCACTTCCTGTAATAAGGTGACAATTCTGTTCTGCGGTGAAATCGCACAGTAGAGTTGTCACCCTGTGAACTGGGTAGTCTTAGAGAAAAACTTTGTTGCTTTATGTCAAGTTCATCTAAATTCTAACTTCAGCCAACACCTTTTTAAGCAGTAACTACAGGGTTTTTATTTATCTGATTAAAAGCTGACCAGGTAAGGGGGGGAACTCTGCATTTAGGGGGCCCTACAAGGTCAATTTTATGTGAACCTGTTGCTTGGCACTGGATAGGCAAAGCACAGGCTTCCTTTAGAGATCTATCTTTCTGGCAGCAATAATGATGAAAGAGCAGAACTAGGCAATCTCTGGCCCTCCAGCTGGGGTGAGACTACTATCCCATCATTCATCATGGGAATCATACCTATGGCTATCAGTCTCCCAATGCCTAATGGGATGTGTAGTTGTAGTTGCACCAGAGCTGGAGGGACAAAGTTTGGCTACCCGTGGTATTGAGGATGGAACCTTACAGACCCACAGGAAGAGTTGGAAAACTCACCCCACAATGTCATGTCTCTGAACAGTATTATTGCAGACCAGCAGTCCCCTCCACCATACACTAGGTGCTGGAAAACCATTGCACCTCCTTCTTCAACCGCAATACTGCCTCCATTCTGTTTCCAAGGCAACAGTGGAGGCTGCCAAGGAATTCTTGTCTCGTGAGACTTGTCATCTCGATAGTGGTTGGTGGCATTTTAAAGTTCAGAGGACAGCGGTACACACAGGGTCAATTCCGGGATTAATAGGACAAAGTGGTGGAGCAGCAGGACCCCAGCATATGAAATTAGATCTGTGAAAGGTCAGCGGGAATCAGGGAAGATTGAGGAGTATGTAAATCCTTTGGCATGTAAAACATTTTACCTACATATATTTCAACTGAGCAGTTTGCCTTTCGTAAAAATCTTTGCTTAGAGATATATGATATAGATCTGTCCACCAATATTTAGTCTTAACATTTTTTGGAAAAGTGAAAGATCATTTTGATGTACAAAATCTAACCAGTATGTGCCAATATATGGACATGCACCGCCATTGAATGTTACTCCTTTAAGGACCTGCTTATTGCATGTATTAATCAGAAACACGTGTCCTGTGCCCCTCTCAGATTTAGGGGGTTATCCACAAAGCTGCCAACGGCATCCAAGTGAATAACCGAGCTGAAGTGAGCCGAGCAACATTCGTCTATTCACTTCGGCTCAGTACGGCCGATATCAGCTGTACATCGGCTGCCTTCGGTCTGCCGAACATGCTCTGCATGTTCGGCAGAGTCAAAGTCCTTCTGCAATATCTGGATTGGCTGAGCCGAAGCTCCAGCAGCTCACTCGCTGCCGTTCGCCCCTATTTTCATACTGGCCAAACGGCAGTGAGTGAATAGCCGAATGCTGCCGAGCAGCATTCGGCTCGGCTATTCTGCTCGGTACCTCCGTGGTACCAAGCAGAATAGAAAAGAGGTGAAAAGAAAGGGGGGGAAAAAACGTGACATCACGCCCAGTTGTTATTGTTTAATGACAGATCAGCGTCCCCAGGTCATTTGGGGACGCTGATCTGTCATTACAACTGGGCCGGAGCCAGCTGTAAGATCACGGCTGGCTCCGCCCAGCTGTCATTTACAGCCATTCTCCCCCACTTTGGCTGTCACTTTGGCTCAGTCGAGCTGAAGCATATGCCTTTGGCTTGGCTGAGCCGCTCGACTGCTGTATGGGCTATTGTGAATAGCCTGTACAGCAGCCCTTCGGTTTGACTGAACTGAAGAGCCCCGGCGGCCAAAGAGAGCCGAAGGATTAGCCGAAGCTACAGCTGGATCCTTCGGCTCTTTAGTGAATAACCCCCTTAGTTTCACTGTTACTAGGTCCTGACTTGATGGCTAAAGCTGGCTGTGCACTGCTCTAATTTTGACTCTGCCAAAATTCAAACATTTATGTGGCTCTGCCAGCAGGCCATTTTCGTCAAGTCAATTATTTCCAAATTACTTTTGCCGAAGGAGCCGAGCTAAAACTTGTTCAGTCTTCTGCGGTCACCGTTCGTGTATTCTGACAGCGGCAGGTAAACAACAAAAGTCATGTAGCAGAGATTACCCTTCCATGATTACACATGATCAATAGTCCAATTGATTGCTACTAAATCGTATTGCATGCTTGTGTAGCTTACTCCATAGGGTGCCAATGGTTCCAACTTAAAAACAAGGGTACTGTGATATCTCAGCCCATAGCCAGGCAAATACTGCCCATTCCATATGTGCTAGGAAACAATTATTGCAGGCAGCATGTTTTTCCTGTGCCAAGAATTCATCTATAAAGCCTTGAAACATATGGCATTGCTAAGGGATGTAATGATGTGCTACATACAGTTACTATAGCAACCAATCAGATTTAAGTTTGCATAAAAAGCACTTTAAATTATAATCATAGTAAAAAAAAAAAGGATCACTTGTTTTTGTTCTCTCCTTTCAGGAACTTGCTGCATTATCTCCCTCTGCACCTGTGTAGCTGGCATCAACTTCGAGCTGTCGCGATACCCACGCTCCGTATACGGTTTACCTGAAGACATCAGCCACGGGTATGGCTGGTCCATGTTCTGTGCCTGGGGTGGGCTGGGACTCACCCTCCTCTCTGGATTCCTCTGCACCTTGGCACCATCCCTCAGTGCTTCCCAGTCTGCCGTCCACAAGCCACGGCAAGAGAACGGAGCAGTGTGACCGCAAAAGGCGGGAGCAGATGTGGCCAGCCAGCCTCCCCACCCCAAAAAATTTGAAAAAACCCTAAAAACTACAAAAAAAGGACACACGCTATCAGATTGAGGCACCCGTATCCTGCTGAGGAAGTTGTCCTGTTCAACTTTGTGTGTTTTTGGTCTGACCGTGTGGTTTGCTTGTGATAAGTTGCCGAAGTTTGAACCTCATGTGAGCAAAACGGGAACCGTGGGACGGTGCGAAACGGTGACATGTGCGCCAAGTGGAACGATGGATCACTTTCGCTGTTTGGACTCGCAATAGAAGTCGGACTGCAAGGGACGTTGAAAGGATTGAGGGGTTAAGGATGTCCGTTAGATGGAACTGTGATGTCAGGGTTCCAGAAGTTTTAAGAAGATTCTAGTCCGTAACTTCTACAGAAGCTCCAGTTTGCTCTTGTACAGACGTTAATGAGTATGGAGCGGTCCGCAGTGTTTGGGGAATTTTGTATTCATGCACACACGCACACAAACAAACATAAATATATACATATAATGACCGGTAACCAGTTTTTACATGTTTTAATACAGTTAACACAAAAAAAACCTCACACATCCATAATTAATTCCCTATTCCATGTCAGTTCTAGATTTCACCCTGAGCGCAGTGCCTTGGCACTCAGCAGGGACTTGGTTACATTCAAAGCATATAGACCTCCTGCCGTGCCTTCAAGTAGGTCCCGTGAACCTACGACAGACTCAGGCTCCACCAGAGATGCTATGGGAGGAAAAAAAAAAATTCTACATACAGTGCGATAACAGGGCGCCCAAGCGAACACGTCACGACCGGATGGTCCAGACATTGTAAATGACAGACATGCCATGCGGGTTAGGAGTTTGGAAGGTTAAAGTGGGAGGTGGGAATTTTTAGTAGTTCCAGATCACCTTGCTGAGGTGATATCATGTACATGTGGTCCCATCACAACTTATTAAAAAAAAAGCACATAATAAAAATTGTTTATTGGCGTTTTTAATACTATCTTGTGTATGCCAAGTATCACTTATTGCATTCATTGTTGGATATGAAATCTGCAGCACTTTGTGTATACACCACATTATCTCAAGGGTAACCTAGGCTGGAACCTCCGGCCCAGCGGGCATCTAGGGGGCTCAGCTACAACCTTCATGCCCCTACAATAAACAGGGAAAATGCAGTTGGTCAATGTTGTGTACCTGGCTGTCACTGCACAATGGAGCATGCACTTGCACCATGGATCTAGGGGGCTCAGCTAAAAGCTTCATGCACCTACAACAAAGAGCGAAAATGCAGTTGGTCAATGTTGTGAACCTGTCAGTGTATGCTGGAATGAGCTATGTCAGCACAGATAATGGGAATGGAGCACCTTCTCTGTCATTCAAAGAGATGAAGGGGGGGAGCTGCTACCTAGCCTAGGGCCCCATCTGCCTTACGCCATCTCTGTGTATAGACACTGCTCATATCACAGCAATATCAGCTAAGGGGATTACTGCAATTATGAAAAAATACGGGAGCTGCCATTACTGGTCCTTCTGAAAGTGCTAGTTGCCAGGCTGTGTCTGGTTTCACGAGTTCAAGTCACAGGCCTGGAACAAACAGAGAAAATGTCCAAATTCTGCACTTCTTTGCTACATCCAGGGCCAGAGACTGTATTGAAACAAACTATCAGCGTAAAAGCCAGGCAGCTAACACTACCTGAGCGCCATTGGTCTAAAATACATGGTGGCAGATTAGTAAACATCCAAATGGTGATGTTCTACTAACACATGACCCAACCTCTGAGCTTAACTTTATATACTAATCGATTTCAGAAAACAATAGCTCTTGCATCCAAGCCCTGCGTCAGTGCATTTTAGATTCCTTTTCTTAGAGTGCCCTGAAGGCCGGCCATCATGATAGGTGGTCATTTCCAAGGTCACTGGCTCACCCCTTCTACATCTTAAATTACTATTGGGCTATTACTGCGGTGGGCGTTATCCTTAATTACTAGTGGGGAGGAGGAAGAGATGAGCTACTCTAAAGCTGCCCATACATCTTTACACAATTTTCGCACGGCGGCCCCATCCTGCCCTGATTATCGCAAGGATCAGCGGTAATTAAAAGAAAGTACCATCACAACTTATAAAAAGTTAAAATTGCAGTAATCGACTGCATGTATTTTTGTCTGTGCATGTGCAGTGTAAATCGTACGAATTTTGACGTACAGAAACGCCACCAACCTTGCGAAAATCGTACGATCGACCGAAGTTTTCTAACCTGCTGGTTAGTCAAAAGTCGATCGATTGTACAGTATTTACGGTTGTACACTGCGCATCATCCTTACGAATATCGGACGAAAACGCGATCGCAAACGCAAATCGGCTGATATTCATAAGGTGTATGGGCACCTTAAGTCAGCGACCTCGGGACAGGTCACTATTTGGATTTCAGGGCCTGGGATTTAAGGCTCCTACAGTGCACTATAATAAATAAGACTTGAACATGCTGGCATCTGGAAAGGTCTATAGTTCAGGCGGATGGACAAGCTAATCACATAATTCTGAGTATAGGTTTACTTTAAAAGGAACTGGTCAACAACTGCTGACTTGTTTTAAAAGGTTCCTATTCCAGAGGTGTCCCAACATGGGTTGCATGCTTGCTCCATGTCAGTGAATCACTAATTAGTCAGGCAAGAATAATTTTGACAGCCCTTGAGCTTGCACCTGCATAAAGAAAGTCAGCAATGGCAACTTCCATATTTCCATCCTGACAGGTTCTCCCTAGGCCTTCCTGCTTGGAGGGATTAGTCGTTTTAAGAACACCAGCTCCAGCCTTCTATTTCAACTGTACCATTATTCAGGACCTCAAGAGTTGAGACGCACATTGGTTTTTGCCATGGGGCTTTTGCAGCAGAAAAGTCGTAGAGTACAGTAAGGCTAGAACCCCCTCAACTTTTTATTGCTGTCAGTGTTGTGTTTGCAGATTTGCCCTTACTTCCTGTCTGATGAAACTTGTCAGTAGGACAGGAAGTAAGGGTAAATCTCTCTAACCGAGCCCCAGATAGCAGTGAAATCCAAACAGGAATTCTAATCCTTCGCCACTCTTCTGAAGTTTTTGACTTGACACACACTCAATCTTTCACCTAACCTAAAACACAAGTCAAGGCAAGATACATAGGCTTACCTACGTAGCACATTTATATTTCCCCACGCTTTATACCTTATCCCTTTAAATATTCTCTAATGTCAGCAAAATACCCCCTGATCTGTCAGAAATGCACTCAGCTCTTAAAAATTTTTGGACTGTGTGTTGTCAGCCCTCCAAGTATCTTTTGCTAAACTACTCAAGCACTCACAGAAGGATAGATAGATATACACACACCCACACACAACATAATGCCTAATGATTCTATAGTTCAAGATAACAACAGGGAGGGCCAAATAGCCTTCTTGAGATAACACAAGAAGTTTGCAGAGCACAGTACAACACAAGTTTGCAGGGTAGCTCTGAAGTTCTGACAAGATCAACAGGGCTTTGTTTCTTTTTTGTTTTTTTTGTGCTTATCAAACAAATATAAACACAATTATTCTAATATTTAACAGACCAAAAGAGTAAATACGAGAAGTTCATTGTTGGGGTTTACATACACTTTAACCAATAAGGTTAGTCTATGTCTAAAATTCTTAAAGGGAAACTTCTCCCCCAGATACATTTCCCCCTCTTATCTTGTTTTCTGGGTCATCCTGTAGAAATATACTCGCACACCCAAGGAATCCAATGGTCTCCTGCTGTAATCTACCGCTCTGCTGCTGCACCCCGGCTCCTGCACCGCCATCTTCTTTGTTTATATCATTGAGGGTCAGCTGATGTCGCACAATGGCACTTGCACAGTATGGTGCAGCTTCCCCCAAAGCCTTCTGGGATGCAAGATGCGATTATCCCAGGAGGCTGCGAGAAGCTGGAAGTTCGCAGGCACTTCCATAAAATGAAGTATTTAGAAAACAAAAAGGAAAAAGTTATATCTGCAATGGTTAGAAAGGAGGGGGGAAGGAATTAATATGATGCAAAGTGTAATAAGGTGAATATTTTCTGGCATAGGGCGGCTGTGTGGCACAAGAGGACTGACCTAGGAGTCTTGTGCAGAGACCTCACCACTTAGAATATATCAAAAGTAAACTGGTCATGAGATTTTTACATGAAACATTAGTTAAAGTGACACTAAACGCGAGTTAAATCTTAAAAATACATTCAAAAACCTTACCTGTTAACAAAAATGTATCTTATTTGTGTATCACTGGGCTGTAGATCCTCAAATCATCTCTGAATTGGTGCTGACACTCCCCTACTTTTGTTCCCCATGGTCCCCGTGTGTGTTGTAAAGTAGTCACCGCTCCAAGCTCACTCCCGTGATGGACTACAATCTCATGTTTAGTTTATTAATTTGAAGGAATGCACAGATACCGTTTTTTAGGAGGTCCCATTAAGGAACCTGGGCAGCGTGTAATGACTCGCTGTCCAGTTTCCTGATTAGCCAGGCGCGTGTAATGACTCGTGCCCCCCTATGGTTTCCTGATTACCCGGGAAGCCGGCTCCATGCTCCCTTGTCATCGGGTGACGAGGAAGCATGGAGCCAGTTTTATGATCAGGAGGCTGGGGGGCTGGTGATGACTTAGAATTGTAGAAATGTCACCAGCACACCGATCCTTTTAAGATAGCAAAAGCTTCGTTTATTGAAGTTTTTTGTCATATGACCAAACAAGCGCTTTCGGGACCGCGCAGGGTCCCTTCATCGTCAATGCTAAAGCCTGATGAAGGGACCCTGCGCGGTTCCGAAAGCGCTTGTTTGGTCATATGACAAAAAACTTCAATAAATGAAGCTTTTGCTATCTTAAAAGGATTGGTGTGCTGGTGACATTTCTACAATTTTGCTGACATTCGCGGCGCCATCCGCGGTCACTGCGAGCACCCCTCACTACAAGGGACATATCGGTAAGGAGTGCGACAAGGATAGTACTTATTATATGGTGATGACTTAGCACCCGGCTTCCAGATTGGCCAGCTTCCCGACCAATCAGGATTTCTGATTGGGCGGGAAGCTGTCTCCACGCTCTCCCCATCACCAAGTGACGAGGGCACATGGAGCCGGCTTCTTGGCCAATCTGGAAGCCGGGTGGTGAGTCATTACCCGCCCCACGGCTTCCTGATTGACCAGGAAGCCGGCTCCGTACTCCCTGATGACGAGAGAGCATGGAGCCAGCTTCCAGGCCAATCAGGAAGCCAACATCATGTACTGACTCTTGTTCCAGAATCGGAATAAGCATACTTGTATCGGTATACCCCTACTAATTTGTATTGAGATTGTAGTCCATCACGGGAGCGAGCTTGGAGCGGTGACTACTTTACAACACACACAGGGACCATAGGGAAAAAAGTAGCCACCCTCCAGAGGGAAGGACAGTGTCAGCACCAATTCAGAGATGATTTGAGGATCTACGGCCAAGTGATACACAAATAAGATACATTTGTGTTAATAGTTCAGGTACTTGAATATATTTTTAGGATTTCATTCCTGAGTTTAGTGTCACTTTAAGATGGAGGGAATTTTTTTTCTTAAGTAAATTATTATTAGTAATTTTTGAGCTTTATAATACTTTCTCTTTAAAGATAATTAGTCATGGCATATGCGTCAGTTTAGGTTTGGTTTTTTTTCAGCATTATTACTGAGAATATATTTAATTACTTCAAAAGTTTTGCAAGGCCTATCTGTTCTCTAC